TCCAGAAATAGGACGTGAATTTCAAGATTTCAAAGTTCTATAGACTGCCTTGTAAGAGATCTTTCAAAACAAAAATACATCTAGACACCTTGTAGCCAAAGTGTAGAATGTCAAGGATAAAAAGGAAATTCTAAAAGCCAACAGGAGAAAAGATAGCTTATCTACAAAGGTCCAATAATTGAATTGACAGTTAGCTTCTCATCAGCAACAACAGATGCCAAGACAATGGAATGGTATCTTCAGAATGCTAAGAGCAAATACTTGTGGACCTAGAATTCCATACATTGCCAAACCTTCATTTAAATACAAAGCAAAATAAAGACATTTGACACATAGAAGATCTTAGAAAGCTTCTGTTCCACAGACCTTCACTGTAAGAGAGAGGCACCGTGGCTTGGGAGAGGGACAGGGAGCTGGAGAGGTGATGGGGCTTAGTGGAGGGCCAGGGCTGCAGGGGTTGGGGGAAGCTAGGTTCTGTTTCGGGCCTCCCCTCAGTACCAGCCAGTCAGAGGAGCCCAGCCTGGCCCACCTGGAGCCCAGCTCAGGTTCTCCCCTCAAGTGCCAGCCTTGCTGTCCCTTATCCTCTCTTCCTGGGCTGAGGTAGTGTCCCAGCATACAAGCTAGGGGGTAACGCTGCCAGCCCGACTCAGAGGGCCTTGAGGAGGATGCACTCAAGTTGCTCATGTGACCAAGCACTTGACCTCTACTGTAGAGCCCTCTCCACCTGGGAGGTCAGATGCCACCCCACAGAGACCTATGGATAGCTGGAGAGGTAGGACAAAGGCTAGGTCCCTACCCAGGAGTTGGGGGTGAGGGCTCTCATTCTCTGTAAGAAAGAGAATCATAAGTAGTGGGGACAAGACCAATGGGGCTGAACTGGTGGGGACAGAAGGTTTCTTAGAGGATACGGCCCTACTTAATCAGCTGGTGCCCTTGGGTAATCACTTAACTTCTTTGAGCCTCAGTTTCTCATTTACAAAATGGAGAGATTACCTACCTAATGAGGATGCAAAGATGAAATGGGATAATCTGCCCTAACTGGTTTGGCTCAGTGGATAGAGCCTCGGCCTTTGGACTGAAGGGTCCCAGGTTTGATTCCAGTCAAGGGCATGTACCTTGGTTGCAGGCACATCCCCAGTAGGGGGCGTGCAGGAGGCGGCTGATCAATGTTTCTCATCGATGTTTCTAACTCTCTATCCCTCTCTGTAAAAAATCAATAAAATATATATTTTTAAAAAGTGACACTTAAGGTACCAAGTTTTAGATATATTTCCCTTCATAGAAACAATAAAATATATTTTTTTTAAAAAAGAAAAAAAGAAATTTATTTTTAAAAAATTATCCATTTAATACCCCTGTAGCATTTTATCAGCGCTCAATAAAAATTTAAGAAGAAAAAAGCAACAGTGAGAGCAAAGGTGGGATGTGTGCAGTGTTGAAGGCCATCTGTGAGGAAGGGTTCATGCTCATTTACTTACTCATCAGTTGCTGTTATTCTTTTGGTGTCAAGCCCTATCCTACATGGACTCGGAAGGCAGAGATGACCTTGAAGTGGAGGAGAACCATAGGTAAGGAAGAGCCCAAACTAAAAAATTCCAATAGAATGACAGGGGGTCTCTTCAGGGCCTAACTTGTATTTTTTGTCTATCTCTTCCATTTCCTCTACCACCTCTGCCTCCAACCCAACATAAGCTCCATGACAGCATAATCCTCGCCTGGCTTGTTTTCATCTGTCTTCACAATGTCCAAAACAGTGTCTGACACACAGAAAGTGCCAAAGAAATACTTGCTGAATGACTGTATTTGAGCACTAATAATAGAGACTGTAGAAGTTGCTATGGGAGCATCGAAGAGGTCTTTGCTAACTCCACTCCAGGAATTAGAGGTTTCTCAGCAAGGCCCATTAAATCGGGCCTTGATGGATGTATAGGAGATCAATAAGTGGAAAAGGACCTTCCAGGCATTGGGGCCAGTACATTCTGAAAACATGGGAGTAAGTTCAGGGGCCAACGAGTAATTGAATGTGGCAGGAGCAACACAGTGCAGGAAAGGGGAGTGGAAAGACACCAAACTGGGGACTTAGGGCCTTGAATGAACTTAAGCTGTAGGAAAGTCCTTATTAAAATCTAACCACCTACCCTGATGTAATATTCTGGAAAGGGTAGTTTTCCAGCCCTCACTGTTGCCCTAGTTGTACCTCCCTTCAAAAGTTAAGGGTCTTCCCAGGAAGGGGCCAAGGATCTAGTACCCATTGAGAAAAGGGGCAGTCATACTCCATAGTTCCTAGTCTTGTCTCAAGTTGAATGAGGGTGAGACAAGGAATCTCCCAGAAACTTGGGTGAGTGCTACATGCTGCCCCCTTGTGGCACCCGCAGAATTGAGCAGCAAGGAAGCCAGCCAGGTGGTCTGTTGGTAATCCCAGGGGCCTCCAGTCTCCTGCATCCGCCTCCAGGAAAATTATCCCAAGCACCAGCTGTCCACAGACCAGATCCAATTGCTTCCTTTATTCCCCCACATACACTCAAGGCTGGGCCAATGGGTTTGAGGAAGCTGAGCAAAAGGCGTCAGTTCACATTTAGTAAAGCCTTGTTCACACACACACACACACACACACACACACACACACACACACACGTATCTTTGGCCAGAAAGCAGCTGTGTATACACAGATCAGGAGACCAATGTTTTGGTTTCAGCTCCACACCTCTTCATGGAGTGACCTTGGGAAAGTCACTGCACTTCGCCATGTCTCCCATGTCTCCATCTGCAACACAGGGATCACGATCCCTCTTCCTGTCTCCCCTGCAGGGTCATTGTGAAGATCATCAGGAGGACGAAAGCTGCAAGTGCTAGGAAAAATGTTCGAAGAGTGCTCCGGATGTAAGGGGATCGTGCTGGGTATTAGATAGGGGCTGTCTTGGGCTGCACTGAAGTGTTTGTTTACACCCAGACAGGCCCTGCTGGCGGGGGAAAATTTAAAGGGAACGTGCTCAGCAAGGAAGCTGCTTGCCAATCACAACTGATCGAAACCTCCAAGAATGGAAATCTATGGAGAAATGGGGACCCATTGACTGGCCTGTTTCCAATTATGCTTGGATTTTCAGAATGAGTCCAAGAGCAGCAAGGTGGGTCGGTTCAGTGGCCTCAATGTGGTGGATTAGCCAGGAAATGAAAACAGCCGAGCTTTTCTCCGAGGCCAGGGCCCCTCGTGTGCACTTGACTTCATCCTCCCTCTGGCACAGGGGTCCTCAAACTACGGCCCACAGGCCACATGCGGCCCGCCGAAAACATTTATCCAGCCCGCCGGGTGTTTTTGCCGCCATTGAGTGCATAGGAATTTGTTCATAGTTTTTTTAAAAACTATAGTCCGGCCCTCCAACCATCTGAGGGCCAGTGAACTGACCCCGTTAAAAAAGTTTGAGGACCCCTGCGAGTCTGGCACTTTTTCCACGTGGGGCTGGGCACCCAGCTATCAAGGAATATTTGCATGTTTGGATCCAGCACAGTGGGAAGGCCATGAACCCTTGAGAGAAAAGTTGAGCTAGAATGAAGATAACTAGATAAAGAGGAGGGGCACTGAAGTTGAGAGCCTGTGGAGCTGCCGGAGGCTTCTTATGGAGGAAGACTTAGTGCCTTCTCATGGTGGTAGAATCTGCTTCCCCTACTCTGATGACACTGGAGGTACCATGTATTCCAGCCCTAAAAACTAGTAAAATACTTGCTTTTATAAAATAATGTCATTTTTCTTCCTTTTATGGTGTGACTTTTTTTTTTTTTTTTTCAGAGAGGGATAGAAACATCCATGATGAGAATCATTGATTGGCTGCCTCCTCCTGCATGCCTCCTACTGGGGATTAAGCCTACAACTCGGACATGTGCGCTTGACCAGAATCAAACCCAGAACCCTTCAGTCTGCAGGCCAATGCTCTATCCACTGAGCAAACAGGCTAGGGCTGGTGTGACTCTTACCTGGTTCTGGCTCTTTTTGCTTTGTTGGCCCAGAAGCCCAGGATGAAGTGTGAAACCTAATTCTAACAACTATGTAGATCTTTACAGCCAGACTATTTGTTTTCTATGATCCATTTCCTACTCAATTGTATTCTTCCTAATTCTGATCTGTAATATTTTATTTCATTGTGTATGTTTTCATTGCAAGCCATCCAAATTTGTATGTGTGGAATAAGGTGAAGTACTCTTCGGTCAATGATTGAAAATAAAAGATGACACAGATGTCCAGGTTGACAGCAGATATTTGGTGAGGAATTCTAAGGACATCAGGGTCAGACAAAATCATCTAATATTAAAGACTCTTCCCCATCCCCATCTCACACCTTGAGACAGTCCCAAAGGGAAGGGAGTTGCCCAAGTTTTTAAGGCATATTACTGTCAGAGAAGAAATTGATACCTACTTTTCCTGGCAATCAGTTCTCTGATCTTCCCAGACAACGGGCCTCATTGGATGGCATAGTGAAGGTAAGGAAGACAGCTACCCATTGGCCAGTATGGTCAATGAAGTAGAATGCTCTTTTTATTCCTGTTTCAATTAACAGAATACAGGCCCTGGCTGTAGACCTCTTGTGACCTACTGGTTGACAAGGGGCTTAGGCTGCCCTCCACAGCAGATGCTACTGAGTATGCCCAGAGCAGGCAACTCAAAGTGCCAGCCCGTGCCAAGACAGGAGAGGAGAGATTTATCTGGGTCCTACTTTGAAGAATGGAGCTTTCTCGTTGAAAGATGTTCTCTTTTAACCCTCAACCAAACAGGACACAACTGAATCTGGCCCATGGTGGTAGCCCAGGACGTAAGGTGGGCAGTTTTACCTTTAAAATTAGCTGAAGACCTCAGTTTGAATTAGATGTGTAGTGTAAGTTTCCCTTAGCTTTTTTTCAAAAGGGTCCCCCCGCATTCACAGACACCCAACCTGAATGCAAATAAACCTTTCCAAGCCTTTCCCAACCCAAGTGGCCCTATAAATGCTGCCAAATACAGAACTCAAGACTTTTAATTGTCTAAAATGAGGTTTATTTCATGTCATGCATTGATGTCCATGCAGCAAAGGAGACTAGCACAATTCTTAATGCATTTAAAAAATAAAAATGTGTGTATGGAGGTAAATGCACAAAGTTCTAGTCTCCTTGGATCCCTGGGAGATTAGGGCCTGGGAATGAAACCATCCACTCTCCTCTCCATGGCGAATGAGTTCATCTCTTAAATGCAAGGATGTTCCCATGGCCTCTGGATGCAGGTGCACAGAGCTCCAGGGCAGGAGCAGGGACAAGGAGAGAAGACCACTAATGAAAAAGAAGCTACACGCAGTCACCTTAATCAGAGGACAGAAAAGATGGAAAATCCTGGGGGCAGCGGCTATTCCAAGAGTCAGGAGATAACATACACCCATTAGGAGATTTGCTCCTAAAAAGAAGTGGAAGTAAAACCCCAAAAAAGAAAAACAAAAGAAATATATCTTCAACCACACTCTTCAAGAAAATGCCATAAATATGTTATTTAATATTTTCATTTCATAGCATTGGACACACAGCTCAACATATTGAAATATTGATTCCTCAGTGGAAAAATAAAAAAGAAAAAAAGGAAATAAAAAATATTGCATTTTTCTGTTGGAGAATCTCGGCCCCCAGGTGTGGGGTGAAGTGCACCAATGTCCTAGCCTGCAGGAGGCGCTGAGGTCGGCGGGGTCCTCTGGGGAGGGACGCTGTGCCCACTGCCTGGGGCTGTATGGCAAAAATTGTGTTGGGTGTCCTTGGCCTTGCCAGCTCAGGCCCTCAGTCTCCGGTCACCTGGGGGGCCTGCCCGTCGGAGGGCTGGTTAGCTGACTGGATGAACATGGGCTGGGCGAGGTCCTGGCCGGCAGGCATGGTGACTTGCTGGATCTGGTAGAGCTGCTGCGAGGGGTGGAGAGGAGAGAGTGAGGTCACCCCTGGGAGAGGGGCATGCAGCTCCCTATGGGCCTCGAGTTGGTTTGGGGCCCCAGATACTTCAACCACCACCCACTGCAAGGCGTCAGAGGGAGGAGGGGATGTGGAGCTCTGCTGGGGTTGGGAGCAGCAGACACAGGAGGCACCAGCACGGTGTGAGGGAGTGTGTGTAGTGGGCGGGGAAGAGGTGCAGGGAGTTGCATTTCCTGTGGCTTTCACTTCTCTGGGCTCTGCCTCTCCCGTTAGCTCAGAGCCTGGAGCTTGCTGCACGCTGTTCCTCTGTGACAAACACAAGCAATTCGAACCACTGTACCAGCAGCTTGGAAGTCAGCATTTCCCCAATTCTCAGTAATCCTCACTGGCAGAGGCAATAGGATTACCCCCTCTTCCTCCTTTCCTCAGAAGATCTGACTACACTGAACCTGCACTTCCTACATGGGCCCTGCTGAGGAGGTCACCTGGAATTAAACACTTCCTACAGCCAAGACCCGTGACGGGTGAAGCAGATGCTCACATAGCCACTTTGGGAAGTTAGTGCCAACTGATCATTTGGTTTCTCAGGGGTCCCCCCCCAAAACCAGCCAAAACCCCTGCCACAGGAGCCCTGGCATGTGAACCTAGCACCTGGGACTGGCAGGAACCAGAGGTGGATGATGCGGCTCCTCTCCTCTGGGCAGCAGAGAATACAAGCTTGGGCACATCATCCCATCATGTCCTCAGGGATGACTGGGAGCACAGTCATAGTATGAGGGGATAGGCCAAGGGAAAAGTAAGATTCTTTCTTTGCACGGGTTTAGAATTACTGAATTCCAGGCACTGAGAGGTTGAGAGGTCCCATGTTCTCTGCATTTCAACTAACCCATACCATTAAAGAGCAGCAGAGAAAAACTAGAGAGGGAAACAAGACACCTGTGTTCTAGTCCTTATTCTGCAATGAACAGCTGAGTGATCATGGACAAAGCATTTCCCATTTCTAGGACTCAGTTTACTCATCCGTAAAATGGGGATTTGGGCTATATAATGTCTATAATGCTAAAGGACAGGCACCCTGATTTAAAAACTGTACTTGTTTTAACAATTTCTGTCCCCTCATTGTTAACAGAAAATGGGACAGCTGCCCTAATCACCCAAACCCATAGATGTCATCCACTAGCCCTCACCCCCATTCCTCACCCGCTGCCCCTGCTTGGACTGGGGGTCCTACCTGTCCATCTGTGAACTGGCTGAACTGCTGCTGTCCTTGCTGGACCTCTGTCTGTGTGATCTGCAGGAATCAAAATAGCAGAGTAGGCAGGTCAGCTGCAGGGTCTAGCCACCAGCCCACTACCCAGGAGAGGGTCGTGAAGATCAAATGAGACAATACATATCAAGTGCCCAGAATAATGCCTGGCATAGAACAGGTGTTTGACGTGTAGCAGAAAAGCAAGGTCCCTCCCATCCCGTAGCCCTGAAGGCTACTTAGAGTTGGCCCCATATAGAGCAGCGGTCGCCAACCGGTGGTCTGCATGGTTGGCAACTGCTGATAAAGAGGACCTTGGAACACGCGGCATTACCAGTCACCTACTACCCCCTCATCAAGGTCTTTTTGGGGCTCAAATCAAACAAACACCTAGCTCATGAGTGCTGACATGAGAGAGCATAACATTTTCGGTTTAGTCAGAAACCCTAAGAGTCTTGCAGCCAGTGAAGACAATTTGCAAAACACTGGGCAAAGTAGTGAGTGGTCCCTTTCATTCTTGGAAGGTGGGCTCCAAACCAAACCCGTATCACCCAGATTATCTGACTGGAATATGAAACACCCTGGCGAGCAGGTGGCCTTGGCCCTAGAAGCCCTTGTGGCAAACCTATAAAGTACTTTTTCCGATAGTGGCCACGTGTAGCCCTTTGGGCCAAGAATTGGGGGGCAGGGCGGGGGGGGGGGCGGCGGCAAGGAAACATTTATCACGAGCACTTAAAATCTTAGGTGTGGATTTTAAAAGAAATGTACTGCCATGTAGGAATGCATTGTACAGTGCCAGCTGTTGGAGAGACTGAAGCGTGCTTGTGTGCACAGTTGTGTCTGTGGAACATTTGACTAGTAATGTCTTCTGTGCACCATCTCTTGGAATCATTACAGCCAACCCGCATGGTAAGGACGGTCCTCTCAGGTGTCCTCACAGCGGCCAAAAACAACCCATCAGGTCTAGGGGACATGTGTGAAAGAGCTTCATACTATTGTTCCTTGTTTTGGGTCTTTCTCCTCCTATCAGTCTATAAGCTGCTTGAGAGCAGGAGCAAAGTTTTGTCTTTGAATCTCCCAGTGCAAATAAATTATTCAAGAAATGTCTGCAGAATAAATGAACGACCCTGAGACAAATGGAAAATATTCCTCATAGATGAGATTAACTGTGCCATGGCCAGCAGTACTGCCCTTTATATCAAAGAAAGCTTCATTTATCTTTAAATTCCTTTTACACACTATTTATTCAGCATTCATTAAACGTACATTTACTGCCAATGGTCACGTACAATCTGTTGTTATACAGACTGTGACTGCCCTCAGGTGCTCTCTTCTTGTTTTTTCCCCTCCTCTCTGTAACCACCCCGGCCCCAAGTCAAGCTTTCTGGCTCCCAAACTGATATCTGGGAAACCAAGAACTCTTCCTTCTCATTTCCTCCCACCCCTAGGCCATAAAAAGTTTTTGGGATCCCAGGTTAGAATCTTACAAAAGTTTATGGGTGCTTTTTGTTTTTTTAAAGTGGAAGGTGAGGTACCCAAGGGTGTGACCAGTTTTGAGCTAATTCCATGTCAGTAAACTCCAAGGAAATTAAGGAAAAGCCCAAGTTCCATGTGAGCCTTTAACAATCCCAGAGACTATATGGAATTCAGAAGCCTTACTTTTGGCTCATTCCTCACATTTTCCCAAATTAAATCTTTGGAGACCTGCTCTACAAACTCAGCTCTGTTACCACTGTCAATAGATACATCACCAGAAATGCAACTGGGCCAGACAGATCCAGCTCTTAAACGATCGCTGCTTTTTTTGGGTATGAGGCAAAAAAAAATCCATTAACAATGCCTCTCCTTGAGCAGCACCCCCACCCCCTGCAATGATGCCCACATTCCCCAACCCCCAAGCCCAGGGAGGCCCCCTCAGCACCTGTGGCTCACAGCCTCCAACATCCTAGGGCGTGAGAGAAGAAAGGCGAGCAATCTCTGGTTAAGGGTGCCTGAGGAGGTGAGGATAAAATCTAAGGAAGCTTTCCAAAGGGCACAGGAGGGCCAGAACACAACAGCTATTCAGTTTGAAAGCTGCTAACAGCCTGACAAAGAGGCAATCTGTCAAAATACTTCTGGTGAGACCTGCATACAGGTACATCAGGCTTTCTTCAAGTATACTTGAGACATTCCTGCCTTGCACTTTAGAACAAGATGGTAAGAAACACACTTTGAATGCAATTCTCCATGAAACCCCACCGTGGAGGCAGAATAGATACGCAGGTGTGGAGGTGGCTCTTGCTGAGGAATAAGGAGGAAGCCAGCTCCTGCTGGTCCCCAAGTCAAGCCCTGCATCCCTGGGACACATACCTGCTGAGCATTGGTGGCAAGCGTCTGGATCTGTCCCTGCACAACTTGGGTGCCTGATACAGGCTGGGCTAAGCGAATGTACTGTAGCTGGCCGGTGTTCAGCTGCACCTAGGGCAGGGAAGAGACAGACAGACCACAGGGGATTGAGTGCAACTTCGAACAGGCAAATTTTCCATGTGCCCTCCAATGAGCCCTCCAAAAAAGCATGCCGGAAAAGTTCCTTTGTAATAGAGGTCAAAACAGCAAAACCATCACTTCCCTATCCTGCAAGTCACACACACAATGGACCTTGAAAAAACTCCCTAGGATCTTGTCACATGCATGAAAAAGCATGGCTGCACCCTCAACATTCATTGGCTCTTCGCTGTTCGCTCAGTTTATCTTAGGATTTTATCCCAAAGGCTGTCTAACATCATCAGAATGTTTATACCTTAAGTGTGGGCCTCTCTTCCCTCCAGCTCCACACTATTCCACCCAGTTCCCAGAATGGCTGATCTAATACTGTACTGAGAACAGCTCCAGTGTCTGCCAGGAGCACAAAGCAGATGGCTGTCACTCCACACCACAGCCCTAGAACTACCCAATTCCACGCTGCACATTTTGGAAGAAAAAGTTGGCCAGCTTTACTATCTCTGTCCCCAAGAGCCAGGACCAACGGGAGTCTGAGGGACTTTTAGGATCCTTGGTGTTCAGCACTAGCTTCTGGCTAAACGCCTCCCAAGGGGAAGCTGAATCAATAAACCTTTCACAGAAAACTCCATCATGGGAAACCAAACCTACAAAAATGCCCTCGGAGTCCCTCATGCTTAAGATTAAGTCTCAGATAATACAATAATACCACATACTGCATTTAATTGTGTGCTAAAAGCCTTAACTCAGGCTCTTAACGCTCCAGTGTACCATGAAAGTTTTAGTGCTTTGAATGCAGACGAAGAAAGGGCCAAGGTGGTTACAACACAAGAGGAGCTGAGGCTCAGCAGAGAAGGGCTGCAGACATTCACACTTGGGATTTGGGGCGCCCAGACACCACCTCCTTGGCTGCAGGCTGCCTTTGTTGTAAGGTGAGCTTCTTGAGGCTACCAGGCTTCTGTCCTGGAATAAACACTCCCCTGCCTCCAAGAGCTAATATCACTGAAGGGAACTGTGCTTCCACGAGGAAAATGCTGGTGGGCTGAAGTGGCACTCCTGTGTGCATTGTGAAATCAAACTGCTTCTCTGCAACTGCCAGCCTGGAAGAGGATTGGAACCACCCAGACAGACTAATTCTAAAGTTCTGGTAGATCATTCCAGAATTGTCTGCTTAAGGCAAGGAGGGCCACAAAAATCTAAACCTGTAAGAATCTAATTCATAAGAAGATAGGGCATGATATTGTGACCTGCAGTCATTTATTTCCTGAGGATGTGCTGAGAGGAGCTGCTGGGAGGCTGTGATGCCAAGCCTCCCTTCCCCACCTCAATCCCTTGATGCAGCTTCCAGGCAACGATGTTAAGATGCTTATGGGGATAAAGGCAGCTGGGCGGAGGCTTAGGAGACCTCACTGCTGAGACTGACGGTGTCTGGTCCCAGGAGTCACAGAACTCCAGCCAAGGCGCACGGGATGAAAGACTAAAGCCTGTCCCAGCAGCTGGGAAGGTATACTGACGGCCATAGGGATTTTCCATTTCCTGGCTGGGAAGAGCTCTTCGCAGAAACTCAAATGTGATTGGAAAGCTGTGCACCAACTAGTTCCAAGCAGCTCTTCGAAGCTAGAAGCTCTTCTTTTAAGTTTAGACATCTGATGATATACTTTAGTCCTATTACCACAGGATAAGTCTGGGGATCCTCACAGCTTTCATATGTTAACTAAAGAGCAAGTAAGTCTACCCCTTAGGCTTTCAAAAGAGAAGCAATTTCCTTCCTGAAGGTCATCACTACTGCAAGCATGCTGATGAGTTTAGAATGCAAGCTCCTATCCGAGAACCATGAAGACAAGGTCCTGAATTCTACTCATCTGTGCTAAAGCTCTGTGCGCCAGAGGGCTAAAAACACTCAAGCCAGTTACTCTTCTCTGGCTTAAATGAACTTATCTTGGTGCCTCCACATGAATGAAAACCATTCAAGAGAGGTCTTGGGTTGGTGGCTGAAAAAGTGAGGCAAGGAACCTGCAGGGGAGGGAGGGAGGGAGAGAGAGAGAGAGCGCGAGCGCTACAGAGACACACTCACTCCACTTTCCTAAACTTTCTCCTGGCCTAGTACTCTGTTAACCTAATAAGAACAGTTTCAAAACCAGAGTTGAGGATGCTTTTTGAGCTTTTTTCAGAGAGAAAGTGGTTAATCAAGCCCAAGCGAATTTCCAGATTTGCCTACATTTCATTTATAATAGGAAGAACAAGGGGTAGGAAATAGAAGGACTGTTCCATGTCACTCACTTTCTACATTTTTTGGTGGCAAAATGACCAATGTATGAATGGCAAGTGTTGAGACAAGAACATTTTTAACAAAAGAACAAGTACAAGTAAAAAAGTCAACAAATCTAAGAAATGAAATCCCTCAAGGCACACAGGAAGCAGTAGTCCACATTGAAGGAATGCATAAGTTAAATGAAAGCCAAAAATATACTTTGCTGCAGGCTCCAGTGGGAACTGACTCATGAATATGCAACAAGTGTATTTATGGTCTTCCCTATACACCTCCCTCTTATTTTTTGCTAGTCAAAAGACAGGACTGTCTCACAGGGCCTTCTCTATGTAGTTGGAGTGAGGGGAAATTAAAAGGAGCTGCTGCACAGTGGTGAACTTTAACATGGGTTAAAGGAAAGCAGTGAGCACACAGTGAGCAAGTTGTGGTCTAGGGCAGTGATGGCGAACCTATGACACGCATGTGAGAGGTGACACGTGAACTCATTTTTTTGGTTGATTTTTCTTTGTTAAATGGCACTTAAATATATAAAATAAATATCAAAAATATAAGTCTTTGTTTTACTATGGTTGCAAATATCAAAAAATTTCTATATGTGACACGGCACCAGAGTTAAGTTAGGGTTTTTCAAAATGCTGACATGCCGAGCTCAAAAGGTTCGCCATCACTGGTCTAGGGTAACAGGAATATACGTTTAAAAATGTTTATACACACACACACACACACACACACACACACACACACACAATATATACATAATCATGCAAAATAAATACACATGCACACACACACAATATTTTTTTGTCTGTGTGTGTATACAGATATTAAATCTTTAAGTATCTCTGTTATTATGTTGAAGAGTGCCATGCAGACCTGAGGCAAGGCAGGGCTTACCGGGATCTGCTGGATCTCTCCTGTGTTTGTGATGATCTGCTGCATCACCTGCATGGTCTGTCCAGTGCTGCTCTGGGCCTGCTGGGCTTGACCCTGTGGCTGGGCCTGGACAATCTGCACCTGCTGACCTTCTCCAACCTGCATGGTCACTGGTGTGGTCTGGAAAGAGTCATGAGAAAGTTGATTGAGTCTGGCTCAGAGTCAGTAGGCTTACAAAGGGGTTAATAACCAAGAGGTTAA